AGTTCAAGTACATGTGAGAGACGGGTGTACTGCCAACCCCAACCGAACCGGTACAGCTCCTCAGTATATTGTACTTGTAGTGCGATATAAGATAACTGTAAAGTAATATGGTAAAGTATCAGATTGCAAAAGCAATAATGCATTGTCAATTCGAGCATATTGTAATATGGTAGATGCGGACTTATGAGATATAGTATATGCGGGCCCAAACAGTTCGAGTGGTGTTTTTGAATGGGGCGTTTCGGCCGTATGTATACTACAAATGTACTGGAGAGCCATGAGAAATGCGATGAATGAATCATTCAGGCCGCTATGTTAAACATTCTTCATCCTGCATATGCTAGGTCGGGCCTAGAGCCTCTTATAGGAATGTTTGTAGTAACCCTCGTGGAGCCCTTATAGAGCCCTTCAGAAAGCTTGAAAGCTGAGGGCAAAGTATATACCCTAAACCCTGAAATACTTAAACCCGGAGCCCTAAGCCCTCAACCCGTTCAACCCCAAATCGTCAACCCCTTAAGCCCTAAACCCGAAGCCTTACAAGCCCCAAACACCCCTTACGCCCTTAAATTCTGAAACTCTAAAAACCCTACACCCTATGTACCTCAGACTCCTAAACCCTAAATGCAAAACCCTGTAAACCCTGAAACTCTTTGAACCCTAAGTCCTAGGCCCTACAAACCCTGAAAGAGCCTCCTTCTCGCCCAACATCGGACCGAGGGTTACCTTAGCATCTTCGGCAGTTAAAGGGCTTTAAGGGTTTAGGGTTTAAGGGTTTAGGGTTTAGGGTTTAAGGGTTTAGGGTTTAAGGGTTTAGCGTGTGGGGTTTTGAGGGTTTAGGGCTTTGTTTTGCGTTTTATGGAGATTAGGACTCGGACTTAGGGAGTTAAGGGTTTAGGATTACTTTAGGCCTGGGGGTTTAGGGTTTTGGGAGTTAAGGGTTTAGGGCTACTTTAGGGCTTAGGGTTTACGGGCCAGGCTTTAGGGTTTTTGGAGTTAAAGGTTTAGGGTTCAGGTGTTAAGGGTTCAGGCTTTAAGGCAACTAACGGAGTTTAGTTGCTTAAGGGAGTCCAGCGTGGGTAGGGTGGGCTCGGGGTATCAAGGATTGAAGGCGGGTTAGGGAAAGCTCGGGTTTAGGATAGAGAGTTGGAGAATTCGAACATGAAGCTTAGGCTGCAGGTCTGTCATGCTGTAGTTTTGGGTTAGGTGCTGCGTCTGAGCTTTTGGCTTAACTTTTGAACTTCAACTGGAGGCACGGGATAGCTGTTGGTTTTGGTGTGTATCACAGCGTCTAAGGAACCATATTTGTACTTATTCCGACCCCCATACTCAGAGATCCCAATATCCCTTCATAGAGGAATATACCTTAAATTATAGGGGCCTTCATATATATATTATGGTTTTAGGTATATTCCTTGATTAAGGGATATTGGGATATCTGGGTAGCCACCCTACCAAGATGCCTTTCAAGGCTCGCCACCACGACGACCTCCGGATTTTCGTATTGTTTGAGATTGGCCTGGAGATGTCCCATTTCCATGCCTGCCCGCGCCAATTGCAGAGTGCAGGGTTCGGGCTTAACTTTGTGCTTCGGGCTTAGGGCTTGTGATTCAGTGCTTGTGATTCAGGTTGTGGCTTAGGGGTTTGTGATTTACGGATTGACGGTCTGATTTAGAGTTAGGTGTTGATGGGTGCCCTTGAACCTCCAAGTAAACTCCTTGCATACCCTGGACCCTAGACTCCCCAGACCACGCATGCCATGGCGCAAGTCCCGTTTCCGAAATTCCATTCACATGCAAGCCTCCACCCAAGACCCGAAACCCTGCATTATGCCCTACTCGCTGCCCCAAGTTCAGCAAAACAAATTCTGACCAGCACATGGAAAACAAAAAACACGAAACACAACCGCAACCTGAACACACCCCACAAATTAAAAACACACAGAGATGGAACTTGAAACTCTAAACCCTAAACCCGGGTGCCTGAGGTGATTTCCAGAGACCGCTGAGCTCGGCAAGGTACTCCGGATTAAAGTCCATGCTCCGCTTCCCCCTAGGTTCAAGCAGGGTTGAGAGAGTAACTGCTCGTTTTTTTCAAAAGTGCAATGACGCTCCTTTCTCCAAAGTGCGCCTGCCACACCGGGGCTTCAACTACAACCGGACGTTTTAAGGGCTTAGGGTTGAGGAACGAGGGTCTCGGGATGCAAAAATTGTTCACGGTAGGGACCTAGGTTCGGGTGTGGCTACCGAAACCCTAAACCCGGCTCAGGGCTTTGGGAGGTTTGGGTATGAGGTTTGGTGGGTTTTGGGAGTTGTCGGTCGTTCGAATAACAGTAATGATAACAACAGTAATGAGAAGAAGAAGAAGAAGAATCATAACAACAACAGGCATATGTAGTAACAACAGTAACAGCAGTTGGCAACTGGGTTTCAGAACTGAAGCTTCGCACGCGCGGGTAGAAGCCCTGCACAGCGTTTGTAATTGTAAGGGTTAGGGCTTTCAGGATCGATGCCTATGGTTGAGGGGCCTACGGCGTAAAGCAAAAAAAAAGCGTGCAGTCTGCCGGCATCTACTCTGGAGGCGGTTGGATCACTGTTTTTTCACGAGCTACAATACGGGATCTGCTCAAGTTCTCAGCATTACGATTGTAAGTAGTATGTTCTCGGTCGCGAGAAGATTGAGAATACCGAAATGCACAAGAATCCAAGATCCCTAAAGATGTTTCGGCAAATAAAGTACTATAGACATCATCAGCAGAATCACCAATATTTTTCCTGAGGGTTCCATTTTGCAGAAGAACTAGGGATGGTAGCGGTAGTAGTAGTCGTAGTAGTAGTAGTAGTAGTAGTAGTCGTCGTAGTCGCGCCTTGAAGACTGCCGCGCTCTCCCCAAAGGACATGGCTCCTAGTGCTAGATTCACTCAAGCTCAGACTAGGGCCCAGCACGCCTTGCAATCACTTTTAGCGTCGGCGAGAATGCCGCTCCTTAGTGCGCCACAATTTAGTCCAGCTTAGTGCTGAATTGCTCTTGCCCCAATATGGGCGCTTAGGCTAAGCACCCATTTTAGTACGGGAGCAATTAGAAAATGTCACAGACTCCTCAAATCCCGTATGGCACAGCCTCTGGGAATTCGGTGCTCTTCCGACGCTTTTGTAAATCTCTTCGGGAGCTGTAGAGCAGCGCGCTAGCCACGGCAAAGTGCAGGACACTGCACTTCGCCTGAGCCGATATGGTCAGTCAGCTGTCAGCTGTTTGACTCACTCAGCTCTGCAGGTACGCACATGTGACCCTTACGGCCTTCTGTCTCCAGCATGAGCACGGCGTCTGTTTTTAAATATACGGATATTTAAACAGGTTAAACAGGTATATTACACTACCTCCGTGAAACATCGCCCGGGCCCGCCTCGAAATAAAATATCCGGAGATTGGCAGATGATTGGTGGGTTTGGGGTTTAGGATTTTGGGGTTTAGGGTTTAAGGGTTTAGGCTTCAGGTAGAAGCCAAACCTTTCAGCTTTAGGTTCAAGCCAAACCGAGACAGTGCTCAAGCCTTCCAGCCTTCCCCCCCAGCCCTCCAGCCTTCCACCCTTCCAGCCTTCTAGCCTTCCCCTTCCACCCTCCAGCCTTCCAGTCCAGCCGCCGCCAGCCCTCCAGCCTTCCAGCCCTCCAGTTCCAACCCTCCAGCCCTCCAGCCCTCCAGCAAAAGCCTTCCAGCCTTCCAGTCCAGCCGCCGCCCAGCTCTCCACCTCCAGCCTTGCAGCCTTTCAGCCTCCAACCTTAGCCTTCCTCCAGCCCTCCAGCCTTCAGCCCTCCAGCCTTCCAGCCTTCCAGCCTCCACAAGCTCCAGCAGCCCTCCAGCCTTCCAGCCCTCACCTTGCAGCCTCACCTCTTCAACCTTCCAGCCAGCAGCCTCTCAGATCCAAGCCGCGCGCCAGCCCTCCGCCTGCCCCTCCCACTCCTTCCAACTGCCGCGCCGGGCCTAGGACAGGAGCATGAGCTGATTCCTTCCCACTGCCGCTCTCGGCCTAGAACAGGAATCACTCTTTTCGAACAAGTCCAGAGGCACGAAGAAGATGGCCTGCCAGTTAAGGGTTTAGGAGTTTAGGGGTTGAGGTGTTTGGAGGGGTTTAGGGTTTAAGGTTTAAGGTTTAAGGTTTAAGGTTTAGGGTTTAGGGGGTTAGGGTTTCAGGTTTGGGGTTTCGGGTTTAGGGTGAAAGCCGGAAAGGTGGAATATCATAATCCTACTGTCCTTCAGGTACGTAACTAATAAGGAATCCGACCGTTAATCCATATTCCAACTTTCTACTCTTGAAGGGGCCTCTTCAGCGTTTGGCTCGTCGTAGGGAATGAAGGAATGGATTGGAGGAGCCTTTAGAAGGCAGCATATAGGGACTACTATATTGGGATCCATTCCCTCATTCCCTACGAAGCACCAGCTAGTTAGATTCGGTTGTACTTCCATCTTGCTGGAGTTCCCTTCGAGGGTTTTCAGGGTTCCGTTGGAGGCTTCCTAAGAGGGTTGAAGCGTGGACTTGGAAAGTCGGGGGACTTAGCAAGCTGTTCATAGTTTACTTACTAACAGCTCACTAAGCCATGTCTAGCTTTGCAAAGCCTCTGACTCTGACGTCCGCATGAAGGTGTTAGGGTTTAACGTTCACGGTTCAGGGTTTACATATACGGTTTTTTAGAAGCTGCCCCCACCCTGTAATAGTGGTATAATAGGAATATAATAGGGCCCTAATATAATATTACGTAATATAATCCTTATGGTCACTATTACAGGGTGGGGGCAGCTTCTAATATACGGTTCATAGTTGAAGGGTACGGGCTTCGGGTAAGGGCTTCGGGTAAGGGCTTCGGGCGCTTCATGCCGAACAGTTGGCAGACTACTCACATTACCATTCAGCACCTTGAATACAACCCATAGTGATTTGAACTAAGAGGAACCTTCAAAGAAGCCTTAAAGGGAACCCTGAAAGACACAATTGAGATAGATTTCAGCGCTTAGGCTCTCGCTGCAGCGGCCTTTGCTGCAGCGGCTTTTGCGGCCGCAGCCGCAGGAATCGGGCAGTTCGAAGCAAATTTACCCGATCCTCTGTACAGGTAGATGTTCTTCTTGGATGCTCGCAGATGACAATTAGCATTGCTACAGGTCATGGTGGAGCCGTCGATAACCAGCACGTGCTGCGTCTGCTGCTGCTGCTGCTGCTGCTGCTGCTGCTGCTGCTGCTGCTGCTGCTGCTGCTGCTGCTGCTGCTGCTGCTGCTGCTGGCCAGCCGCCTTTTTTTAGGCGTTGGCCTTGCGTCTTCCACGCTGCTAACACCAGGAGAGAAAGACGGCGGCGGCGGGGCTCTAGCGGCAGGCGACACAGACGGCGGCGGCAGGGCTCCAGCACCAGGAGAGAAACACGGCGATGGCAGGGCTCTAGCACTGGGCGAAGGTGGAGGAGCAGTCATGACGAAGTAGCTTGCCAGTTGTACACCTTGCCAGGTCATGCCGTGCATCTCGGCGTACACGCCCTCTTTATTCGACAGCGATTCCCAAGTTGCGCAGCTGGTCTCTGGCTTGAAGAACCATATGTCTCGAAGCTGCCGCTGTTCCACATCTGCCGTTTCCAGTTCTTGCTTCCATAAACCACGCTTGTATGTCTGCCGTTGCAGTATCTTCTCCTCCAAGCACCCGGCAAAAATGAGCCGCGTGATGAAGCACGGTCGTTTCTGCCCCAGACGCCACACGCGCGCCTGCGCCTGGGCATCTTGACTGGGATTCCAAGCTGGTTCCATCAGCAGCATGTGCGATGCGGACGTGAGGTTGAGCCCTGCTGCTCCGCAGCCTTTGCTCAATAGCAAGACCTTGACTGATGGCAGGTTGGCAAAGGCTTTCAAATGCTCTTCGCGATCTTTCTGGGTGCCAGTGAAGTAAGCAAAATCCACGTCGAGTTCCACCAACAGCTTCGTCAAAGCTTCAAGCACATCAAGCCGAGAAGAGCATATGACACATTTGCCTTCGCACGCACGAAGCCACGTCTTGACATAGTCGAACCTGACTCGTTTTAGGATGGGATACCGTTCAAATCTGAGGGTTCCAGGTTTATGGGTTGTGGATTCCTTCAAGTCCTTCGAATAATGATCCCTGAAGCCTTCCAGCCCTCCAGCCTTCCAGCCTTCCAGCCTCCAGCCCTCCAGCCTTCCAGCCCTCAAGCCTTCCAGCCTTCCGGCCTTCCAGCCTGCTCCAGCCCTCCAGCCCTCCAGCCTTCCAGCCTTCCAGCCTTCCAGCGCTCCAGCCTTCCAGCCTTCCACCGCTCCAGCCCCCTCCAGCCTTCCCGCCTTCCGCCCTCCAGCCTTCCAGCCTTCTCCAGCCCTCCAGTCTTGCTTCCAGCCTTCCAGCCTTCCAGCCTTCCAGCCCTCCAGCCTTCCAGCCTTCCAGCCTCCAGCCCTCCAGCCTTCCAGCCTTCTCCAGCCCTCCAGTCTTGCTTCCAGCCTCCAGCCTTCCAGCCTTCCAGCCTTCCAGCCTTCCAGCCCTCCAGCCTCCAGCCTTCCAGCCTTGCAGCCCTCCAGCCTTCCAGCTTTCCAGCCCTAGCCTGGAAGCCCTCCAGCCTTCCAGCCCTCCAGGCCGCCCTTGCAGCCCTCCAGCCTTCCCGCCTTGCACCCTCCCAGCTTTTCTTGCCTTGCAGCCTGCAACCTTCCCTCTTACCTCATCCTCACTTACAGGGCTCTCACCGTCTAGAACGAATATTTTGGGGCCAGATTTGTTTTTTTATTCCAGAAAAGCAGAGGCTAACAAGTCGAGCAACTTGGGATTGCCATTGGTCATCGAATACAGCACTTTGTTGAGGTTCTCCAAAGTCTCGATGGAAGCCGATTTCCTTGCTGTAGCAGAAGAAGCTTCGTCCAAGGTCTTTTGGTATTGCACTCTCACGCGCTCCGGCAGTGGCAAAAAAACCAAGTGCGTCGTCTTGCGTGGCAGTGCATGGCTGTCCATCTCGCGCTGCAACATGAAGTCGCAGGTGAAGGCCTGCAACGAAGACAGCTGCTTTTCCGCTTCGCCGATCTTCTCCAATGTCGCGCCTGGCTCTCGCGCGTCACGTACAACAGTGAGGTTCACAGCAGGAATCTCTTGACCGGGGCGTAGCAAGGCCACAATTGCAAGAAACTCCACCAAATCGTTTTGAATCGGAGTCCCAGTTAGTCCTAAGCGAAGACTGCATGGCCAATCCAGGAATCGGTTGTAGCGCTTGGACCGTTTGTTTTTAATTAAGTGTATCTCATCGAGGATCAAAAGTCCAGAAGCACATGGCTTCTCCTTGCTGTCCATAGACAAGATCTTCACTGCCGGTGGGACGGCACCAAATACATGCTGCAGCTCCGCTTGCCATTGATCCATCAAAGCTGCAGGGCAAACGATGTGGACGATAAAACTCGGGTCAGCAAGCACGAAAATACATGCCAAGACCGTTGCCTGAAATGTCTTGCCCATGCCCATTTCGTCAGCGAGGAGGCATCCCCGGTGCCGGGCTAGTGTTTGCAGCATCCAGTCGACGCCGGTGACTTGGTGCGGTTTGAAATACAAAGAGTGTCGGGCCTTCAAGAGAGCAGCAGCTGCGTGCAGACAGTCTTCCTGGGGCATCAGCAGTCCTGGAAGGCTGGAAGGCTGGAGGGCTGGAAGGCTGGAAGGCTGGAAGACTGGAGGGCTGGAAGGCTGGAAGGCTGGAAGGCTGGAAGGCTGGAAGGCTGGAAGGATGGAGGGTTGGAAGGGTGGAGGGCTGGAGGGCTGGAGGGCTGGAGGCTGGAAGGCTGCAAGGCTGGAAGGCTGGAAGGCTGGAAGGCTGGAGGCTGGAAGGCTGGAGGGCTGGAGGGCTGGAAGGCTGGGAAGGCTGGAGGAAAGGTAAAGGCTGCAAGGCGGGGGCTGGAGCCCTAAACCCCTTCCAGCCTTCAACCCTCCAGCATTCCAGCCCATACTGGGATTTAAATATACGGATTTAAACAAATATTTTATACTACCTCTGCGACCAGTGCGGCTGGCAAGGCCCCCATATATTTAAAAACGTCACCGTAATCCGTGTGGGACGTCACAAGACGGATACTCTAGGCGCCGGCTTCGCCCGAAGTACGACCTAATTGCTGGGACAAGTGCACAGACGGACGCGTCTGATTCACAACAAGGTGGCGGAGGAGGAAGCCATAGATGTAAAGTCTTACTCAACTGAGCAGTCTGAGACGAATATGAGCGATGAATGCTAGCAGATAACCAGTTTCACGAGTGCACGGGACCAAAGGCGCCCGCAAAGCGCAGAGCACGCTCGCGCAGCGTTCAATTGAAATAGTAGTAGTAGTAGTAGTAGTAGTAGTAGTAGTAGTAGTAGTAGTAGTAGTAGTAGTAGTAGTAGTAGTAGTAGTAGTAGTAGTAGTAGTAGTAGTAGTAGTAGTAGTAGTAGTAGTAGTAGTAGTAGTAGTAGTAGTAGTAGTAGTAGTAGTAGTAGAAGTAGAAGTAGAAGTAGTAGAAGTAGAAGTAGAAGTAGTAGAAGTAGAAGTAGAAGTAGAAGTAGAAGTATAGAGTAGAAGTAGAAGTAGAAGTAGAAGTAGAAGTAGAAGTAGAAGTAGTAGTAGTAGTAGTAGTAGTAGTAGTAGTAGTAGTAGTAGTAGTAGTAGTAGTAGTAGTAGTAGTAGTAGTAGTAGTAGTAGTGGTGATTGCTGTTGTTGTTGCTGTTGCTGTTGTTGTTGTTGTTGTTGTTGCCGTTGCTGTTGTCGTACAAGTCTTAGTAGTAATACTATAAGTCATCAAGCTTCAAGCTCCGTAATCCCGCAACTTCGCACCTGGACATAAAGAGGCCTGAAAAATAAGGCTAGGTTTCGGGGGGGCTCTGCACTTCACCTGAAGTAGGGAACCCGAGGCAACTAAATCAGTTGTTCGAGCCCTGACAATTCTAAACGCAGAGCTGGCGGCACGTTCTCCGAAAGGAACACCCGCGCCGCCGAAACCCTGCTGTAGGGTTTAGGGCTTACGGTGTAGAGTTTCAGGCTTTCGGCTTGCTCGGCAGGGAAACTCCGAAATGCCCTAAACGAGAACAACTTTCCAATCCCCAACATCAAGCTAGGCCACGATTATAATCAAGCCTTATAGGCGCTAAGCCCTGAACAAGGCCCCGCTTGTGCCACTTCGAAAACTCTTGTGTTGCTATTCGATATCCAAGGCTTTCTCTGTTCAAGCTCCAACGGTTTAGGGTTTAGGGCTTTGGATTTCTTAAAGCAGTGCACCTTTAACTCCAAGAGCGTCCGGCGCTGCACTTACAGGACATACACAGGGTTCGGGGGGCTTTGCGTAACCGGTTTAGAGTTAACAAAGCTCCCTGTTTGAGAACGTTTTTGCTGAGCGACAGTCGGTTGTGAAAAACGAACCCAGCAAGGCGCACAGCCTACATCCAACAACGTGCACCCTACATATCCTACTTGCAAGCGCCCAGAAATTTGAAAGCACGCTATGCGTCAGCACAGCCAGTGAACCTCACAGATATCGCACTAAACCCTTAATCTAGAGACGACCCACACTCTCACAGGCAAGGCCAGAAACCCTGAGCACACGTGCATTTTGAAGCCGCCGTTCATGCCCTGGGAGCTGTGACGTAGAGATGCTGTCCGGTGGCGCCGCTTAGCGCGATCAGCTGAGTCCTCGCTTGGGACTGACATATATTCGGTTTGAGCTTGCGGAGCTTTGAGTTCAGGGTAAACCCTAAACCCTGTAGGGTTTAGGAACTCATTTACTGGCCCTGAGCAGGAACAAACGCATTGCTAGAAGATGCTTCAAATCTCCCCCCTGAACCACGAGCGGACCCGAAAGCCTGAACTCCAAATCCCAAAACGCTAAGCCGTTAACCTTTTAGTGGAACGCTAATTCCTAGGGCCCTAAACCGGTGGACAGGGACGCAAAGTTTACAGCGTCGGCTTGCGAATCCGGCTCAGAGCTGGCTTGAGGATTTTTGGGAGGAGGTGTGCAGGGGCTTGTAGGGTTTAGGGGTTTAGGGTTTGGGCCTACATGCTGCACCCGGGTCGATCCTGCCGGAGAGTGGGCTTTCTGGCGCCACGGCAACTGCAAAGGCATCCTGACATTCCTCGGGAAGCTTCTGGGCTGACTATGGGGGGGCCTGAACACTTCGAATCTGCACTAAATCCAACTATAGTAGTAAAGACGACTACTCAAAGGATCATGGGACTTAGTAACTAGTGTTATAATCCGGGGTAACTCTACTTAGAACTAAATATATCCCCAATTAAAGTACTTATAACCTTACTTACTAAGTCCCATGATCCTCCAAGTAGCGGAAAGAAATAGTGTTAGGGCAGGCTTTAGGACTTTACGACTTCGGGCTTGGGGCTTTAGGTCTCAAGGTCTTTCACCGGCTCCTAATAGGTGTGTTTGTAGGATTCCGTGCATGGATGCTTTTAAAATTGGGATAGGGTTCCCTCAAAGGGTTCCTTTAAAGTTTTCTGCAGAGGGTAGCTATCTTGATTACAGGGAGCTTTGTTACAGTATCGGATCTTTATAGAGGGACTATAAGGGGATGCTATCCGGAACTCGACACACTTCTGACAACCTCCGGGGAAGCATGGCGAAGCACTTGACCCGACGTTCGTACCTAGAAAGTCTGCAAGATTTTCCTAAGCGCTCTGGAGGCCATGCTAGGGGAAGCTTTTGGCATCTGCCGACGCTTACTAAACAAAGGAAACACTGACTTCGAAGCACGACCGCAATCGAAACATGCCAAGAAGAGTTCCATTGAACACCCAACAACGATTGAACTCCAAACCCTAAACCCCGAACCCTAAATTCTGAACCCTGAACCCTGAAACCTAAACTCTGAAACCCTGAACCCTGAAACCTGAAACCCTAAAGTTCTAAAGCAGCTGGGCTTCCGCGAGGCCATCCCAGAACTCTTCGGACTGCTGAGTCCACGTCACGCCGTCAGCGGAACGCCAAACCTCCAGTCTTTTAGGGTTCCTTAAAGGGCTCTTTAAAGGGATCTATAGGGTTCCTTAAAGGGATGTATGGGCCTTTGGGTTTAGGGTCTACTGGAAGGATCATGGGACTTAATAACTAGGGTTATAATTTGGGTAACTCTACTTATAACTACTTATAACCCCAATTAAGGTACTTATAACCTTACTTATTAAGTCCCATGATCCTCCAAGTAGGGTTTACCGTAAGCTATCCTGACCTACTTGTGGGTGTAGCTTCTGGTAGATGAAGTTAAGCTTTTGGACCGAGGGTTTTGGGTTGAGGGATCAGGATTTAGGGTTTGGAGTTGACGGTTTATCACTACCTTGAGGGCTTAGGCTTTATGGGCTTAGTTGTTGCGGGTTGAGGGTTGAAGGCTTTGGGGTTGACGCTGCACTACTGATGCGTCGGGGTTTAGAGTAGGGCAGCTTGGGGTATACTTGACGGATCAGGGTGGAAGGGTAGAATTTAAGTACTACAGGGGCCTTAATACTTAGAATAAGGTTTTGGGGTATACCGTACTAGTAATATCTCAAGGAGCCCCCAAGCTGTACGCAAGGCGAGTCATGCCCTGGTTGGCATGGAAGCATTGTTAAGTTCTACACGCCCTAGGAAACAAGCTCCCGAGAGTAAAGATGATCTGTCCCTGCATGGGTGGTTGTCAAAATCATGGCCTCTTTTTGGGTACCCCAAATATTAGGTATTATAACCCAACGAGGGACCCTAATTTTGACAACCACCCCCATGTCAAGACTCGCAGTTCTCGAAAACGTCCTGAAGGCCGCCATCCCCGAACGTTTGGGCGCATTGAGGACTCAAAGAGCTCCGGACTGAAGCTATCCTTAAACAGCCTCGACAGCAACAATAGTAGTAGTAATAATAAATATATATAGTAATAATAACAAATAAAAATAGTAATAATTGTAGTAATAGTAATACTAATAATAATAATAATGATAACAACGAGTATTACTATTTTCAGTTATAGTAATAGTAATGTTGAAAGCGGCAATGGTAACCAGACGTCTATGACTAGTGTTGGCCCCAGTTCTGAAATCACTTTGAAGCTGCAGCATAACGTCTATAGCGGATCTCACACCTACCTGGGCCCCCGCACGTCCACAGTGTAGGGCATCTGGCTGTCCAGGGACCACTTGTGTGGGATGGTTCCAACACTACCCGGGTCGATGAAGCCCAGCACGACTTCCTCACTGCCAGGGCATTCATACAAACAAGACCCGGCATCCGCAAGTCTTGAGGACCGCCCAGACACCGACACTTCCAGAATCCGCAGCATGCAAGTCCAGAAACCCTAAACAAGAGGCATCGCCAGCTTCCGTTAAGATCTCAACCCCTTGCCCTTCAATTTTCACGCTCAAAGCATATCCCTGAAGCGTTACGCTGAACAGGTAATGCTTCTTAGTTGTACTAAACCAAATAATTACATTCCTACGTATCAACACGCCCTCAGCGCCAAACCCTACATAAGCCCAAGTAGCACATAAAGCCTAAGCCGTAATCCCAAGTCTCAATAGTTATTCATACGATCCTTACGGTGTTCCTTTTGCCATAGTTATAGCATGTAACATGCCCCAAAGGCAAATCCCAGCAATTAATCCTAAACCCTAAACCCAGCGTTTTACTGGCTCGAAACCCTAAACTCTAAGCCCAGATTCTCCGGCCGGCAGGGCATCCAGACCCCCGGCAGGCATCGCCTTGAACGCTGAGAAGTCCTCGACACTGCAGCGTCCAAGGCGTTTTGGGGTTCAGGGCCTACCAGGACCCCCAAATGGCCCTACCATAGAGCCCTTATGGCCCTTCATGGTGGGTATGTGGGTATATTGGAGGGAAGTTGGGGGGGTTTAGGTTTGGCTTTAGGCGTTACGGCTTAGGGTTGCTAGAGGGTTTAAGAACTCAGGGTTTGGTTTGGGTTTAATAGCGAGACTGGTTGATAGCGGCCACTATGTGAAAAGGATTCATAGAAGTGTGAGAGATCGTGTACGGCAGAATTTCAGGGTTCCATAGATTGCCAACGATATTCGTGGGCACTCTCGAGGCCTACCCCAAAAATCTCCCCTTAAGTTGACAAATAAGCGGAACACCCTATGCCCCTTCTCGAACTCAGATACTAGAGGATTCGGGTTCAGGGACTGATTGAAACCCTAAACCCCTCATAGAGCTCACACAAAAGCCTCTTTAGAACCCTAAGCCGGAAACCCTGCTTCCCAGAGGCTCCAATATCCCTTAATTAAGGAATATGCTTTAAAATCCTATTCGGGATCCTACTATAATTTAAGGTATATTCCTTAATTAAAGGATATTGGAGTCTCTAGGTTCCCAAACTCCAGCTAAGAACCTCTGCCAAGCCAAATGCGAGGACGCTCACCAAGCGATCGCCAACCTCGGGCTTCTTGGGTTAGGATTTAGGGTTTAGGGTTCAGGTTTAGGGTTTAGGGCTTCTGGACCCTACGCAACCTACCTTTTAGGGCTCCTGATTCTGATTTCGCAGGTTTTGCCGTAGGGTTAGGAGGTTCGGTATTGTTAACAGCGGAAAGCACGCAATCCTTTTTGTACTTGAGCCAACGACAGTAGCGTAGGTAATGACTGTGACATAGATATGAATGCTGTAAAAACACCCCCCGCGCATTGAAGCGCAGCGGAGGAGGCGTACAAAAGAAACTACGCTACGTCATGGCGGCACTCGCTTTGCGAGGTCTTGAAAGAACTCTGTGATGCTAGCTCAAATCACTCCACTGAGCAGGTCAGTAAACCAACCCGTCAGGGCGGTGATGCACGGGCGTGCCGATGCGAAGGCTGGTGTGATTGAACCAGCACGTCAGTGCGGTGAGCTGCAGAAAAACGAAATTTAAACTGAGTCGCTGTTGCGTGCGACTTCATGCATCTTTCGACACGGTGCCCTCAGGACGCGGAGCACCTTCCGGTGTCGGATGCAGCGGACTAGTATGCCCTGTCTCCATTGGAGTCTTGGCGAAACTCCTCCCAGCCACGCAGGAACCAGGCAATCTGCTCAACTGGATGCTGAACCAAGACCTCCCGGTCGGTGTAATCGGGAATCACAAAAGGCACTTCGTTGGGCGACAGCTCCTCAAGATAGCGGGCACGGAGAACTGCCCAATACCAAGCATCTGTGCGAGTGCAATTGCGAGGCATTGGTTGGGTTGGATCGAATCCGTTCCCATCCTGGTCAGTCCAGTCCCTCAAGCGATCAGCTGGGAAGCCTGGGAGAGTGACCGTCAGGTTCTCGAGTTGCTGTTCAATTGCCTCATCACACAGGCGCAGGTGACGCAACCTGTCGTTCGCGGCCTCTTGATAGTCTCGACCACCACCATAGTCATGGCGGCGTGGTGAGCGAGTGCGAGCACGCCCTCCGGCGGCTGTGGCAGGTGGCCCAGCAGGGGCAGCAACCGGAGCCGGTGCATCACCAACAGCAAAGCCTCTGACTTCGCCACGGCCGGCAAAGTAGTTGTCCCATTCATCTGCAGTGATGTATTCCTCAGGTGCACGAACGGCGTCAGCCTTCGGAACAGCTTTTGCAGTAGGCGGGTAAGGCAGCTGCACTGGTCTGTTGGCACTTGGTTTTGGAGGAGGCGGCGTAATGCTTCGGGCAGATGCCGGCCTTGCCTTCGACTTTGCAGCTTTTGGAACAGAAGTGCTCATCGGACGATCCGTGGATGACGAAGCTGCACCGCCAGGTGAGCGACCTCGGCTCGGAGGAGCCGGTGGAGGCCGAACACTGGGTGTTGCTGCAGGCAGCGACGAGTCAGGACCAGTCCTTCCGGATGGTGACGGCGGTGGAGGCGGCACACGCATGGCGCCAATGGGAGTGGCACCATGTCGGACCATTCGGTCTTCCACCTCGCGATTAATCCAGCCGCGGGTACGCTCAACACTGAACCGCGTACCGCCAAGAAGCTCAAGCATCTGAGACCTGCCCATAGTTCCTAGCGATGCTGGAATCTCCAAGGGAGTCTGCCCAATCCCGACTTGCACAGTAACCCGTTGCTGGTTACGCTCCTTGTTGGTGAGAGCACGATGTGCATGGTTGCGGAGCAAACCGACGAGGTCGGCCATGATCTCAGGGACAGTCCCGGTCACGGGCTGGTACTCGACGCCGTCATGGCGGAGGATTGTGAAAGGACGCAGATTGCGGACCTCAGAGGCCAACTGAGTGGCACGGATCAACACGGCGATTTCAGGAACCAAGTAAAAGCGATCTTGGAAACAGAAATAGCAGTGCTTGGCCAGCTCGAGAAAGATGTTCCTCTGGTAATTGTACTCCCCGCGAATAATGTCGTCGACGGGAGGGAAAATGAGGGCAGTGCGTGCATCGGATGTGTGAGATCCGGCAAAGCCTCTCTTTGCCTCCGTCCCCGTTCCCGGGGCGGGAAGTCGCAAGCGCGCGAACATCTCGACTTCGTCGAGTGAAGTCACCGTCATCCCCTTCGAAAACACATTGAAGGCGCTGAAGGGTTCGTACTTCAGGTTCTGGCGCAGGGAACCATGTGTCCCTTCTGCTGCTTTCGCCACCATTTTCTTGCACTTCTCCTTGAGAGTCGCAGCGATGCTTTTCTTAACATCGGCCCCCTGACGGGTGTGCTCGTGTGGACGAGTGTTGATAGCTGCTCTTGGTGCCAGATAGTGGAGACTGTGGTTAGCTCCACCTTGCGCGGCTTCCGCCCGCAGATCAGCCAGCTCCGCAATGTGGGAGATGTCGCTCGGATTGAACAACTTTCGCTGGCAGCGGGGGCAATTGAGATAGCCGTCAAGCATCTGAGACCTGCACCTATCATCAGGGCAGCGCAGCTTTGGGAAGTGCACGTTGAGGCACACTGAGTAGTGCTTGCGCTCCACACGCAACGGGCGCTCGGTGGTCAGCCCGATGGGCGAGAAGTAGACCTGGACATCCAAAGTCCATTCGCACGGAGTTCCCTCCAGCGGGCTACCCTGCTCAAAGCAGATGGTACGACCATCGACATGAAACTGCTCAACCTCACGCAAGTGCGAGGGCTTCTGCATGTCCATGAACATACCCAAGAACTCAACCCAGTCCAAATTTTCATTGTGGATCGGGTAACAGAGATCAACGTAACCCATGATGCAATTGGCGTCAGCTTCCGCTGCGCGTTCGATGAGGTCTTGGTTGAAGACCGGCAGGATCTCCTGACGCTTGACATATGCATCACGGGCTTTGGACACCCGAGCTCGCGTGAGCTCGTACGAGCGGTTAAACCATACGGGTTTCCCGGTTCTGCGATCGTAAGCAAACATAAGGTAGCGATTGGACAACCAATCTGGGGTCTGCAGAACATTGTTCTTTGTCAGGAGAATGCGACACCCTTCCAGGCACGCGAGTTGGAGGTCGATAGCGAATTCAACCTCAGCGCCAGGTCGCAGGCCTGCGTTGTTCGGCCTTTCCCACTGAGGGAGGGAAGCCATCATAGTGAAGGCTCTCCCCGTGCTTCCGCCGAGGGTGACACCGCCTGGGATGAGACCGGTACTAACGATATTGGAAAAATTGCTCCAATAGGTCGCATGGTACCCGATCGGATGCATTCTGACCCAGTCGTTGTGGATTTGGCCAGTGACTCCTACGGCAGGACGCGTATGCATGGTGGGCCTGTAGTCGTCACACAAAGCATAGCTGTCACTGTGCATATCCACAAGATCAGTCTCGTCAGAGATGAGATCGCGGCAGTGCCCTTGGAACGCACGGATTCCATGAATCTCAGTGTGGTCGATGAAGTGGAGGACGCGCAACTCAAACCGTCCGTTGTCATCTTTGTCGTGGTTCCCATACTTCACCACTTCCATGACGTCTTCCGACCGGAGACCGCGCCACTGTTTGCCCAATTGCTCTTTGAAGTGATCCCATTCGACCTCCCGTGTTGCGGGGTCGAAGGTCATCATGGGCGGTGGCCGCCTTTGTGCCTGTGACTCTGCACTATTCGCGAAGCCGCGAAGGAAAAAGCTCATGGCATTGCTCAATGCTCGCCGCTTGCCATCTGTCATGTAGCGATGGCTTGGGGCAAAATCGGGGATGTCTTCATAGCCCCACCACTCAAAGAATGGCTCGAAGTCAACAGCAACGTCTTCCGACGGCTGAGCGGCGTCTTCCGACGGCTGAGCGGTGTCATCAGGATCCAGGTCCATAACGACATCCTCTTCGTCGTCGGTCTCGACTGTCTCCGAGATTCTCCTGTGCTTGGCAGGATCGGGTTTCGACTTGGGCGTCGACCCGACTTTGCGAAGAGACTGCGAATACCTGACTGTGCCTTTCGGGAGTCTGCGGTCATCTTCCAATGCCGGAACCTCAGGGGGTTCGTCCCACACCGTGGGGATGCCGTCAGTGGCCTCCTTCTCGATGGCGTCTCCGTCAGGGATAAGCACATTCGTGGTGTTGATGACATCACGTGCCACCGTAAAGGCAAAGTCCTCTTGCGCCTCAGGATCGATGGCGACAAGGTCGAGGGGCAGCTCTGACCCAACATCACGGCTGAATAGAACGTGTTCAACCTGGGTCACCTCTTCAGAGCCTTCCGGCTTGAGATCGATATCATCGACCGGCTCAGGCATCATCATCAGAAGAGGGTGATCGAGAACGATCTGCTCATCCTCTTCCCTGGCTTCCGCCGGAAGCTTGGGTGCGTGGTCCAATGGCTCAAGGATGCGCTGGCTAGCAGGCGGCACCGTGAGCGTCTTTTCGGCCTTCCCAAGCTCGAAGTGATTGCGGAACACAATACTTCTCTGATTGGCGACGAACTCAGCCTTCCGGCGAGTGATGATTCGGTCGGTGGACACGGCTCTAATGAGAGCATGCCACCACTGCAAGGATGCAGTCACATTCGGGTCTGTGACCTCGATGTGGAACCCGTCAGGACGCGTGGTCCTCATCAGGAGGCTTGATGGATCAACGACGCTGATGCCTGCGCTGAGCAACTGCCGGGCGTACTTACCCATCTCTTCATCATACTCGCTGGGCAGGTTGTAAAAACGACCGTTGTCATCTCCCAAGAGAACCGTCAGGCCTCTGACACGAGTGTGCTTCCGCAGCTCGATGAGGCGGCGGACGCTCTTCTCGACCATCAGCCGCTGCTTTGCGGGCCAATGTTCAATCTCGTCCAGCTCACGCTGCGGCCTCTTGACCCACTGGCTCGTCAAGTGCAGCCAAGGTAACCGTAGTTACCATACACATCGTTGCCGGCCCAGGAAACCACAAGCTCTACCCCTTCCGGGGGAGCGGAGGCAAGGTGAGTCTCGATCACATCAATGATCTTGTCGAGACCTTTGCCCCACTCCATCAGGCATGTGACTTCCCCGAACTCTGGGTTCGCGCGGACTATGTCCTGCATCATCGGGAAGATAGTGGTTTTCTTCACACACCGTTTTCCTTGCATCCAGCACAATGCCAAGGATGAGTCCCCGGCCACAAGAATGTCGGTGCCGTCGAAACCACCGGCTTCCGCCGTGGGGGGCGCGGAAATCCTGCCCAAGGCTGGGCTGTAGAGCCCGTCCAAGAGAGCTGAGCTCGCAGGAAACAGTGGGAAGGTACCGCTACCCTCTGACAGAATGTGGACCCTATGGCAAATGTCATACATTGCCGTCTTATTGATGGCATTCTCGAAGTTAACACCCCATCCGAGGATACCCAAATCCTTAATGTGCTGAAGGATGAGGGCTGACCATCCCGTCAGGGAGGTGTTGCGTTGGTCCTGCATGTACGGGTTGCCCTGGCGGCAAGCATAGTGACGGAACCAGGCTTCGTACAGTGCAGTCCAGGGCGCATTCGGCGCATGCACACGCATGTCGCGCCATTCCTTCACCGTCATGATTCCAAGGAACATTTCATCACCGTCGGCGTCAGCCCCGGGTTCATCAAACACCTCAGCAAGGTCAGCATGCCGAGCAAGGTGGGTGATTCCGGCCATGGCGTCGGCCAGGCGGTCGGCACTTTTGAGTGCGGCACGATACGCCTGAATGCGTTCCTCACGATCAGCCGTTGCATACTGCAATTCCTCAGCAGTCGGCACACCCTCCCGGGCTGCGGTTCCCTGTGCAAGAGCGTCACGGGTGCTCTGGGCAGAGGACATGTTCGCAATGGGAAGGAGCGAAAGAGAGGACGCTGGGGATGCTTGAATCTTGAGCGCAACAGCTACAACGTGAGTCTGATTTCTCTCTGGTTTGTGGGATTCATGATCTTCAAAAACACGACTAAGGATCGCAGTAAGGGTGCCTTTGAAGTAGTGTTGGGACTCTGATTTCTTGGCACTATCCTTCAATCCTCGTCTCAAGAATTCAACAAGACGCTTCGTGTTGGAGGCTAACGTGTAGTGGGCAGTGACTTCAGGCTTAAAGTCAGCAGCTTCAACCATCGGCTTAAGGTGAGTTTTGCTAAAACCTAGCCATCAAGTACCCTCTTGACACGCTGCCATCCCCAGAACACGCTGTCCCTGGGCCACGTAATGATGAACCTCGCTTTGTACTTCTTAAGAGCATCGGCGATGTCAACAAACGAAGCCCAAGTCTTGGAGAACATGATGCTATTGAGCTCGTCCTGATCCTTGTCTGTACCCCCCGGATTCCGTTGATGGAACCAAAGAAGTACAGAGGCGCCAGCCTTGTGGTAATCCCTGGCTAACTGGATGATTGCCTTCCTAGTCTCAGGAGGATCAAGCTCACTAGAATTTCTGACCTTAACCACCTTTGTATCGGGGCTATACCTTATATCAACGTCACAAGCAGAATGAGTTCCCTGCGAACAATCCACAACGAACACAATCCTTTTGTATGCGGCTTCGGGCCTCGGCGTCTGCCGGGCGATCGAATCGCTGGTGGCCGCTGCCGATTTCCTTGCAGGCAGCTTGTGCGGTGCCACACACATCAATTGCAGTGCTCTATTCCACTTCTCAGCACTAGTGAATGGTTTTGTGAGGACATCCGCAGCTTGGAGCAAGGTGTTGATATAAGCAAGTTCATAATGCTTTCGTTTGAACTGCTCTGAGATCCAGCCTAGATTGAGGCGTTGGGTCTTATCAGCATGCCGGAATGCGGGAGACTTACCTGACTCAAGAATGCGAATCGTGGCCTGGTTATCTTCAAGAACAACAGGCTGAACAGAGTGAGGGACCGACACGATCAACCCTATATCGGTATCATTCTTGGTGGGTGCATTGTCATAGTCACCCCCCGTGTTCCTGATGCCATCGGTCTCACGATGCAGGTATGCCTCTGCTTCCGCATGGCGGCGATAGTCCCGGACTGACCTACGATATACGCAGATGCCCGCTTCATATTCCTTTTCAAGGATCTCATCAAGCATGTCCCTTTCTTCCCAAGCAACATCTGATTGGTACGCAAACCACTTACCTTTCTCAAGGAGCCAAACGTTACGAATGGGGTGCGAAGTGAGATTATCGGGTGGTGGAATCACCTTAATCTTATTGTACACATCCAGCACACGCCCATCGTCAAGCTCTTGAAGGCCGGTGAAAGTGATCTTTCCAAACTCGGGCAAGGGAGTGGTTTTAGGAACAAATGGTTTGGACTCTCTCGTCAGAGGAGTGGGCGATTTCGTTGCAGTATCCCCCCCCGCGTTCAGGAGCACACTCCAAAGTGCGGATGAAGGAAGGCCTAAGGCTCTCAATGCAACGTTAGCACACACAACCTCTGCTTCAGTGGAACTGAGTGCAGTGCTCGTTTGTTTCTTGCTAAAAGCGGCAAGAGGGTAGTAGGTGTTTGGACCAACAAGTACCAGGATTCCTCCGGACGTAGATTTGTTGTCATGCTCACCAGCATGGTCGCTGTCAGCGAACAACCAAAGCTTGCATTCAGAAGGCTTATCTCCTATAAAACACTTCATGGTATAGTGCTTGGTGCTGTTCACGTAGCACATAAGCCTATGCAAAGCCTTATCACAGTCGGAAGACCACTTGGTGACCCTACTAGCCAACCCCTGAACGGCTCGAAGCAGATCGTATCTGGCCATTCTTGCTGCAAAGAGCAACTTCATGAGGACTCGACTGGCGATAGGAGCCAGCTTGCCTTTCGCTTCGGCCTCAGTTTCCACTGGGCGAGCGATTTTATCATCGTAAAAGGGTGTGCTGACCTTCTTGAGGTTATGATACTCAGGACCAGCAAGTTGCTTGTACTTGTCTATGGCTTGTTGCAGAAAGGACGACATGTCATAGATGACCTCACGAACTTTCTTGTACATGCAACCTTGGTTGTCACCCAATTGGTTGATATCATAGAACGCTTGTTTCTTAGCTTCCTTCTTGGCTTCATTCTTATCCCTGACGCGTTGCACAGCGGCCATAGCACTGGCGCGATCATGGGAACCAGAACAAATATAAGTGGTACCTGTCCACAGCTCCCCCCGCTTTGCGCGGTTACCGTTATCATCCCACAATTCGTGAACGACATCGGGTTTCCCAACATCAGTGAGATGGGTACACCTGTGATGCCCCAGCCCATAAGCTGAAGCTTCCGCTTCGCGGGGTTGATAAAGAGCTTTGCGAGGCTGACAATGATGTCGAACCATTACACCTTCTTCGGGGAACGATTCAGTGTAATCTTCTTTAGCTGCAACACTAGCAGGCTTCGCCGCCGGATCGGGAACGGTCTTGTCAAAGACGTGAGCGAAAGGATGGTCGGCCTTCCTGAGGGTGGAAGTGTTGGTGATGTGATCACAACCCAGATATCTTCCGACCGGGGTAGGCGTATCCATATCGATCTTAGACCCGATAAGTTCCCATCCACGGGCCATGTTCTCTTTAGGGCCCGCCATCTTGAAATCATCAACATAAACGGCGAGAAGCAGCTTCAACTTAGGATGGAAGAACACTGAGGGCCATGCTGCTGAAAACACAAGCTGGAACCCTACCTGCTTCAGCATGCGCTCGCAATGCTGCTCCCAGAAGCCTCCACTGTCAGGGTGGCCATACAGTGCAAGGTGAAGGCGGACAACAGGATCCTTGTATTTACCAATCCACTCCTTAGGCCATCTATCTCTAGGAAGACGAACCCAAGTGTCAGCACCCTTCAAGGTGGTTTGGGTGTAGGCCTGTTTCCCATCGGCCTGTTGACACTCATTTCCAGGAGTGTGACCATAGGCGTCAAGGGCCTTTCCTGCTTCCATGGTTGCGGGGCTGGACCCCAATTCAGAGAACAGTGCGGAATCGGAATTTTCATCGCGCACATTATTACCCTGAAAAACCGTCCTTCCCTTGAACTTCCTCAAAGGATCATTAGCAGGCAATTCACTTCCCTTTTCCACGCAAATTTCGAACACCTTCCCCACATGGGCTTTCTTACCCTTTTTCTTAGCTTCTTTAGAAACCTCTTCCCATTCCCGAACAGAAGCCATGTCCCAAGCCTTCTTCTGCATGAGCTTGTTCCACTCAACATCTAACGCAGCTTGGGCCTTGGGATTGCTAAGAATCTCCTTTCTGTCCACCGGTCTGGCAACCATAGCCATAAGCTGCTCATAAGCTCATTGATCTCTTCGAGCGACGTGGGGCAGTTAGGCAAACTCTTTTCTCTATGCTCAGGACTTCCGTCGAGCGATACTGGCATCGCGGGAAACTCAGGGCGTGACCCGCTGACCTCGCCAGAGGCAGGAACTTGTGGGGTGATAGTAAACTCGGTTTTACCGATCCACTTGAACGATGTCTTCTTATTACGCCTCCGAACGTTGCGCCAATCGTCCTGATCGTTGACGATATCAACGCCACCGACTGGGAAGATAACCGAGTTGCGGACCTTGCCAATTTGCTTAAGGTCAACAGGGCAATCGGTGAGATCAGGTGAGAAGAGCTCTCTTCTAGGAACAAAATGGAACCTAGTGAGTTTGTTCCCTTCTATCTTCCAACAGTCTTTGTCAGGCAATGCGGCGGCAGAAGGCTTAGCACTACTGCTTGCTGAGCCACCAACTTCTTCGTCAAGCTCTGCAAGAGCAATCTTTCGTGCTTCATCATCAATGGCTTTCTCTTTCTGTCTCTTGGACAAGTTAACCCAGATAGAACTAGGTATGGAATCAGGTTTCTTGGATCCCCTTGTCCCCCCGTATCTTCGGCCAATCACACCACCTGAATCATAGAACTTTTCACCTTCCGGTAAAGGAACAATCTTGCCTGTTTTGGGATCAATGACTTCAGGGGGCTTGACCGCCAGGTCAGCGATAGGAGGAGCGGCATCATCGCCAACTTGCTCATCCTGTGCTTCGGCATCCTGGTTTTCGAGAGATTGGGACACAGGGCCCTCAACGGCCTCGGACGAGAATCCAGCCTGAATGCGCTCGTACCTCTCCTTCATAGGAAACGTGAAGTCTCCCCCCGGAACCTTGAACTGGTAGGCACTGATGGGATTCAGGCACTCATGAAAATCGTTACGGTTCAGTTCCTTCAAAGGTAACACCACGATTTCTTTGCGCCATTTCATCCCAGGTTGAAACCTATAACCAAGGAAAACACCAGGTTCGGAGGTAGGAGCGAAACGTTCTCGGTTCTTGCGAGTAGATTTGGGACCAACCCAGTAATCGATTCTACACCCAAACGGAATAAGCTCTCCCGGGAACTTATCACCGAATCTTTTGAACCAGGGTGTGTACTTCACTTCATGCACATGACTGATGTTGAATGCGGTGCACGAGTGCTCCAACGCATAAGGCCAATACACATGCGAGACGCCAGCCTGCAGAAGGTTGGTTCGAGTGCCTTCGGTCACAGACCGGACTTGCCTTTCGGCAATCGCATTTGACTGATGCAAGTAGGCCTTAGACTTCTCATGACGCCACTTCATAGTTTTTGCAGCAGTCTTGAGTTCTGGAGCGCGATCACTGTAGAAATTCTTCACTTCATCCTTTGGAGACGTGAAGTGCTGAAGAGCAACAGTGCATTCTTCAGCTGACTTGAGAGCTGAGGGGTAGGCATAGCAAAAACCTGTTGCAACGTCCTTAATCACCAGCGCCAGCCGGGAGTCCTCTATGATGGTGTCCTTGTCCCGATAGAGCACGATGTGGTCTGCTGTAACGTGGTCACCAAAGTCTTTGGCTTCAATAGTACGCACCCCTCCCGTCGCATATGAAGGAGGTTTGTACATCTTAGCCCTTTGACAAATATCACAGAACGGATTCTTCGGCTGATGCGACATCATATGATGCAGCGACTTAGCTTCAGCTTTCAGGACTTCTATACCCCGTTTTCTCTTCTTCCCATCGCCCTCGGAATCCCCATCTGGGGCGACAGCTGCTCCGTCAGAAGCGCGAGCTGCACCCGGATCATCCTTAGGCATGTCTTCCAGATCAGAACCTTCCTCCTCGAGGATACGATTGAGGTAATCCATATCGTCTTCGTCATCATGACCACTTCCTTTCGAAGTAGGCGGAGGATCAGGTTCTTTGGGTGGTTCAACTTTCTTTTCTTTTTCAGGCTTACCCTTAGTCTTAACCTTGGGCTTCGCACGTAGTTCAACCCCTTTCTCAACTGGAGGTGTTCCGGCAACAAGGTCATACAAGGAAGTTTCCTCATCACCGGGTTCGATCAAAGACGGAGCTGAGACCTTAGATGGCACGTTGAAACCATACTCTTTAAGTCTCGCAAGCTGCGTAGCATCAAGCTTGTGCACAGCACGATTCACGTATGATGTGATGCTCCATCTGTCACCCTTCCAGGGACGGACGCAGTGGTACGTCTTGGGATCAAACGTAAGCATACGATGCTTGGACTTGTGAACTTTGCCTTTCAGCTTACTGCCGTCAGGCGTGCGAACAGAAGCATAATCTTTGTCCTCCCTGCTGATTTCTTCATCATGAATCCAAAGTTCGCCTCCCTCGAAGTCACCCAAACACATAGTGTTGTTCTTATGTTCACGATGATTGTGAGCATCTTTGTGCACCTTGACGCTGGACCCGTGATTGATGCACAGTGAAGAGCTGGGGCCCTTGGCACCATGATGTTTCAGATACTCATTGAGGAACTTCATTAGCTCCTTATTTTGGTGACTGCGGTTAGTGATGCCTTGCATCCCGCCGTGCGAGAAGGCTCCGAGCACAACATACTCGGACTTCTTAGAGGACTTTGGGTCCTTGGCGATGATAGACCTCTGCTTCTTAGAGGCCCTGAAAGCTACCTTGTTTAACAAGGAGTAACATGATGCATGTGAGAAGTCGCCAGACTCTCGAAGCTTCTTTGCGATAGCCTCGGATGACTCTTCCGGCGCTGGCCTTCCGGCCGCGGAGGGGCTTTCAATGATCTGCGTCTTACTAGGACCGGACGAGGCCCGACGCGCAGGGACGCTGATGTTTTCATGCCAGGACTTCAAGTACGGCACATTATCTTTAACGTCCATATAGACCTTCTTCCCTTCGGGAGTCTTAAGGTACGGTCGTGAATTAGCCCTCCAGATGAAATCGAATCCCTCTTCCATGCATCGCTGTCCTATTGAAAGGACAGATGGGGTATCAGGAAGAACATATGGTTTGACCTCAATCCCAATGGAGTCAACAGAAACATCACACTGTTCTGAAGCGGAGTTTGGCCCATTTGCAGTCATCATTTGAATGGGCGCAGGTGACTCGTAGGCCTTCGCCTGCCCAAGCTCCCGCTGGGCGATGAGATCTTGCGCACTGCCAGTGTCAGCAATCCATTCAATGCAAAGACACGGTGATTTGCTGCTGGCGGGTGCGGCACAGTTGAACTTCAAACCAATCGGAATGCAATGCTTGCATCCAAACTCAGTGTTGCACTTGAACTTACACTGCGGTCTACAGCCCTTGACCTCATCACTGACAACAGCTTGCAACATCTTAGCGGTTACCTGAGCTTCCTTCACGGAATCAGGATCGGCTTTCCAATGGCTGTTGGCGGGATATACTTGGCTATACTCCCTTGGCTTATTGCGATCATCGAGGGGGTAGAGGCCATTCCCTTTCGGAATTTGGTACGTGAAAGTTTCAGTAGTGTCATTGAACGACACTGCGGCCAGTGCGACATGATAGTGCGGGGTGCAAACATCGACATTGCTCAACATATCCTTCCGGAACGTGAATGCATCGGCTTGGGCTGCTGAGCCAGCCAACATTGCTCCCAATAAGCAAACTGCAGCGGGAACGGAGGGCGCACCACCCTTGCGACCTGAGCCACGCGAACCCTTCGAGCCTTGGCTAGACTTACTTGATTTTCGGCTGCCGCTCTTTGAAGAGCTCTTGGAGCTAGATCTGGAGCCTTTGCGGCCCTTACCACTTTTCTTCTCTTTCTTCTTGTGCTTCTTTTCCTTCTTCTCGCCGCTGCTCGCTCGTGCACCTGAGCTGCCCGGGGCGGCTGCAGCAGGTTGGCCGTTGTGGAGGAAGTTACACTTATCTCCACGATTGCAAACTCCTTGCTTGAAGAATTTGCATTCCTGCTTTTTGCCTTTACCTTTCCCTCCCGGGCTAGGGGTCCTAGTAGGCGTACGACCTCCGGCAGGAGTGTGAGAACGCCCCCTAGGCTGTTGGTGCTTGTACGGGCAATTGTCTCTCTTGCAACTTCCGGTCTTGACCCAATCAACGCAATACCCTTTGGGAATACGCTTGGGGGCCGGTGCGGCAGCAGGCGCAGTAGGTACACCTGTTTGCCGAGCAATGTGCTCGCGGTTCTTCTGCAATCGCTTGCGTTTCAAATGATTAGCAACCGCGTTATACAGGAACTGATAGGACCTTTGCTCGCTACCTTCCAGTGCGCGTTCATAGACCTGGATGCCGTGATCGATATCCTTGCACTTCTTCACCTGTCTATGGAACAGGGGTTCAAGCACGCTGTTGTCTGGAGGATTGGGAATCCCAGATAGCACCGTATCCCAGTTTCTAATGAAGGTGGTGAGGTTTTCGTTGACCCTCCATGTCATACACAGAGCCATGAAGTGCATTGGTAGCAAAGTGGTTGTGAAGACGACACAGCAACTGTCTTCCTCTCACCAGCCTTCCGGCGTGAGCTTCGGTCTCCTTGAAGGTATCAGTCTGCCTAGCGAAATCACCCTCAAGGATATTGGTGAGCCCAGAAAGGATCTTGGCATCCAAGGTGCTAAACCCCTCCGGGTCGCGAAGCTCTTTCTCGTCGGCGTCCTTCTCCCAGACCTTACTGAGCCAGGCGTGCGCCTTGTCAGGCGAATCCGATGCGGCGACAATGGCTTCACGGACCCTTATGCGCCAGTTTCGATACTGCTCAGGCTGGGGAAACTTGGGAAACACGACCTTCTCAGCCTCTTTAACCTTGGGTTTGGTACTCGAGGAACCCTTTTCTTCATCATCATCCTCTTTATCAGACTTCTTAGATTTCACCATCTTCTTGAGCATCTTGAGAAGGATCTTGTTGTCGATGGAAGAAGACGATGAATCTGACGAATCATCTTTCTTGTGCTTTTTGGATTTCTTGCTCTTTTTCTCCTTCTTACCGCTCTTTTCAGGCGCTTCAAGTGGTTCGCCAGGAGGAGTATGGATCGGAAAGGGTCCTAGACCAGGAGGCCCGGCCTGTTCCGGTTCATTGCCCAATGGGTCAGCTTTGGCTCCCGCCAAGCGTGTTCTTAGCTCGGCATTGTCCTTTTGCAGCATCTCCATGTTGAGGGCTTGAATCCTCATCATCTCTTGCATCTCACCTTTGAGGCCAGAGAGCTCGTTGTCACGAGCTGACACGTCGGCTTGATTAGCCTGCAACCTGCGATTAGCCTCGGTTTCCACCTGGGCGACAACATTCGCAGCTGTCTGTTCAGCGGATAGGAGGCGCTGCCTTAGCTGCTCAGCTTCAGCAGCGGCTGCTTCAGCCTCAATTTGGTACTGGGCTACGGCCTGCCGACCAGCATGGATGTTTTGATTAGCCTGTTCTTCAAAGGCTCTGGCTTTTGACTGCAACTGTGCATGCTCAAGCCTCAGCTGAGCGACTTGACTCATGGCACCTGTTTCCAAAGCGAGAATTTGCTCCCTGTTTTCGCTTTGGATGTTGCGAACGGCTTCAGCATGTCTTGCATTTGCTGTATCCATTATCAGTGCAGGATCCGCACTGATCAGAACGTTTTGCTGATGCTGATACAACTGATTCACGACAGTTGGAACGGAGGTGTGCGATGGAGGCACCGGAGAATAGCCTACGACTGTGGGTGAGGGCTGATGTGTCAGCGACGCTCGTGACGGCACGTATGCTGGTTGAGGTCCGAGGGACCCAACATGCGAACGCAGCGTCTGCTCAGTGAGAGCTACCCGACCCTCCCGGGCGGTGACAACCGGAAGCTCTGCGCCCAGATTCGATCTCGAGCGGGCGGACTCCGTGTCGTCATCACCTAGTTCGGAGATAGGCACACCTGCAGGATTTGTGGGAGCTGTGGTGTCCATTGCACTACGAAGAGCTATACAAGATACGGCTGATAACCTATTGTTAACAGCGGAAAGCACGCAATCCTTTTTGTACTTGAGCCAACGACAGTAGCGTAGGTAATGACTGTGACATAGATATGAATGCTGTAAAAACATTCGGGATTGGGATTTTGGGTTTAGGGTGTAGGGTGGCGTTCTTTCTGTGAGATGGGACGATCTTTTGTGGATGCAAGTATACATGGGAAAATGTACCATACCCTAAACCCTAAACCCCAAATCATAGATCGCTTTCTGTATAATGTAGGAACCTGACTAAGAAACCTTGGGCCTTTACCAGGGTTCCTTATATGAATCGTACTATTTTCGGGTTATGGGCCCGGTGGTTCTTAATCAGGTTCCTACATGAATATAGTACCCTTATAGATCCCATATAGTAACCCTTATAGACCCCTTTAAAGGAACCCCTAGGCCCAGGGTTTCTTAATCAGGCTCCTAGATTACTGGGCCCATACAGCTCCGAGAGTCGGCCCTGATTACCCTTCGTTGGCCAAACCCGTTTAGGGTTAGGGTTTAGGGTTTAGGGTACTCCAATACCCCTTAATTCAGGAATATACCTTAAATTATACTAAGGGCCCGAATATGATTTAAGGAATATTCCCTAATTAAGGGGTATTGGAGCCTCTGGGGAGCACCACCTCGCCGGATTAGTGGAGGGGCCTATAAAAGAACGCGTAGGATTCTTCCCATACAGCCCTGAACCTAAATCTTCAACCCTACACCCTAAATCCTCAACTCCAGTCCCTAAACCCGAACCCCCTGAACCCTAAAACCCGAAAACCCTAAACCCTAAAATTTGGCAACCCTGTACCCTAAAACCCTAAACCCTAAAACCCGATGACCCTGAACCCTAAAACCCGAGCCGCCTGAACACTAAACCCTAAAACCCGACACCCGGCCTTGATGCCCCTCATGTCGGCAACTCCTCCTCGCTTCGTGGACCTGTTTTGAACCCCAGAAAGTTGGAACAGGGGTTTAGGGTTTTGGGGGTTTAGGGGTTTAGGGCTTTAGGGGTTAGGGTATATAGAGAACCACAGAAAGTTGGAACATGGATTCAGGCAAAGTAGTACAGGTAATTGTTAAGGTTCCCATAGTAGCTTAAGCAAACGTCTTTGCTACTCAACCTTGGACAAAGTGATCCACATCCTTGGTTTCGGCATTCATGTCTGAGGGGAAACATGACGAGAATCCGGTTGCAAACTTCCCTCTCAACAAGACAACAAACAAACCGGAGCCTCGGCCAGTCAGAAACCCGGCAGGGAGTGTTACGAATGTATATACATGTGTTTATATGTACATACATACAGACAGACAGACGGACAAACAGACATACAGTACAGACATACATACATACGTACAGACATACAAACATACATACAGACACACACAGACATACAGACATACAGACATTCAGACGTACATACATACATACATACATACATACATACATACTTTGACGTACATTCATGCAAGAAACCAGAACATGTTCTGGGATTCATGTGGGTGTGATGGTCCAAGGTGCGCCACCAGCACGTCTGCACCGCCTTGAGCCGCGGGGAAGTGTGCAAAGCATGCTTTAGAATGGATGGCTGGACTCTGCACAACCTTTGCTGAAAATCCACTGAAGGCCGCTCAAGGCAGACATTAAAGCCAGACCTCTAACCAACGTTTCAATGTTGCCAAACCTCATCGACATCCCTAACCAACCTCCGCCAGCGAGACTGATGTCCGCGAGGGCTAGGCGCCTTGGATCTTTCAATAGTTTGTACACTTTTTGGATGATGATAAGGGTTTCGGACTTTGGGGTTCGGGCAGCAAAGCTTTTGTCGAGAGACAGTCGAGAGAGGAAGTCGAGAGAGACAGAGGCAGAGAGAGAGCGAGATTACCATTACGATAGCGATTATTTTCATTATCATGGTCAATATGAATATACTGACGTATCATTTTCACTAGTCTTATGATTGCTGACAACGTTATTACTACCTGCTGCACCTGCGAGTGCTATGCGGCAGCAAAACCTCGGCGTGATGCATCGGGCCTTGCACGAAGCGGCTTAGCACTGAACGGCCCAATCCCAAATCCTTCAACCTATCCACGCTTTAGGGTTCAGGGTCGTAGCTCTTATCCCTCAGCCCGGCTCAGAACCCTAAACCCCAAACCCCAAACCCTAAACCCAACCGTCAACCTGAACCCGTCAGCCCCATCTTTTTCAGCAAGGCCCCTGGACCCTGAACTCTTTATGACTACTAGTAGTACTGTTATTGTTATTACTAATATTGTTGTCATAAGTAGTATTACCACTCATAGACTCATTGTAGGAATATCATAGTTCGTATTATATAGTCGTAGTAGTACTAGTAGTAGTAGTAGTAGTAGTAGTAGTAGTAGTAGTAGTAGTAGTAGTAGTAGTAGTAGTAGTAGTAGTAGTAGTAGTAGTAGTAGTAGTGTCATGATTTGTTTTTCTCTCCCTGACACCAAGGCACCTGCTTGCGTATGACACTCTGGCAACCGACTCCTGATGCTGCGGACCGCTGTGCAAGGCGGACGGGTCTTTTCGGGCCTTTGATTCCTGAGCCCTAAACCTAAGCCCCGATAATACCCCTTATAGTAATCCTTATAGACCCCTTTAACAGGAACCCTTGAAGCAACCCTATTCGAATTATTACGGCGCCTACCCTGACCCTCAAGAGAGTCTCTTGTTTGCACTTTTTACCATGACTTCGCTCAACAACGCAAAACCCGAGAAAACACAAGTCTAACTCCTAAGCAGACCCATAAATCTAAAGACTCAAACTGCCCGACCAGGTTGGGACCAATCCAAGCCTACAAAACCCAACACTCAAAAGCCGAAACCCTGAAACCTCGGGCTGATCCTCCGGCGACCAATGGCGCTGGTAGGGAGCTGGGACCTTATAGTAATGCAGACACCAGACTCATACAGACGCCGTACATTCTGCGGTAGTATGGTAGGGATCTTAATGTTGCGGCCCTTAAAGAAAGTGGGTATAAATGCAGCTGGCTCATCACCCACCTGCAACATGCACGCAGATGTTCATGCAGTTTCGAGTCTTGATCACCAAGACAGCGACATCTCTATTGGGACATTGCGATGTGTATGTGAGTAAGAGTATACACGTATCTGCCTATGTATGCAGCTCCTTTCTTCAAGACCACTCAGGCAGACAGAAAGAGGCAAGCAGCAAGCAATCCAACAACAAGTCTTTCGAGCTTGCCGTGGTAAAAGCGCGTGCATGCCCCAACATCTTGGAGAAGAGTCTGAAAAAGGCTGCTGAGACGAGCTGAGCTCTGCCCCATGCTGTTGCGCCTGCGGCTGAATGAAACGATGCAAACGAACATGAAGACGAAGGAGGAGATGAAATATGACAATTACGACTAGGACTTATGAACCGCGATGCTGATGAGGCTGATGATGGTAAGGATGATGTGGCGAAGCAGGACGAGTCTGACGGAGCTGGAGGAGGAGAAGGACGAGGAGGAGCATGAGAGCTAGATTGCAGCTGCCATGTCGAAGTTGAAGATGGTGAACATCCAATAGGAAGACTACCATGAAGCAATGATGGTGATGATAATGCTGATAACGGGTGTTGGGCCTTCGATTGGTGACGGGCGTTGGGTCTTTGATGGTGGTGGAGAGGAGGTAGATGCAGATGTAGCCGCTGAATGCGATAATGATAATGAAAACGTCTACGAACATGTTGCTATTGTTACTGATGGTGAACGTGTTGTTACTGTCGCCGTCGTTGTCGGCACCGCCGCCGTCCTCGTCTTGGCTGTCGTCGTCGTCGTGGTCCTCCCCCTCCGCCTCCTCCTCCTCCGCCCCTCATCCTCATCCCGATCCTCCTCATCCTCGTTCTTCTCCTCCTCCTCCTCTTGGACCTTGAAACGGCGGCTGCAGCTGCTGCTGATTCGAATGTTTGGTAACGTTGGTGATCTTGAAATTGCTCGCCGGCCTATCCTGTCTTATCTCTTATCTCTTTACCTTACGCCAACTCAGGTTACGTCATGCTTTGCTGCTGTTGTCGTGATGCTGCTGCGGCTGCGGCTGCAGCTGCGGGCTGCGGGCTGCGGGCTGCGGCTGCGGGCTGCGGCTGCGGCTGCTGCTGCCGCTGCTGCTGCTGGTGCTCACCGTTGTGACGTCTTCCCTCGTTTGCTTAGAAGCTTACAGGAGCTTACAGCTTTTCTGTGCTTAGTCTCTCAAAATCATAACACCTCATCTGAGAGCTGAGTTTCGATAAACGACACTCTAAACGAAGGTAACGACCTAGTTGCTGAGTTCATAAGCCCCAACAAATGTACGCTTTCAGTTGTATAGTAGGTAATATTATCCCAAAAAGTGTAAAGTGTATCCACTCACCTACTAAGACGAAGTTATGCACCCCGGAGACTCCAACATCGGTCCATTGACGGCCCCTTCTTAGGGGTCCCTGTTTAGTTGAGTTAGGGTTCAGGGTTTAGGAGGTCTCCCCGACACACTGAGCCCGAAGTCTTAATTCCCAAGCCCAAAACCCTAAACCTCAACCCTAAATCTCTAAACCCTGAACCCCTAAACCCTAAATCCCGAAACCCCTAAACCTCCCCAAATCCCGCCCCAAATCGACTCGACAGGCGACGTAGGAGGCTGTCGGCAGAAGCCGAAAACCGCCAAAGAGCCACCTCGGTTCCGAGTTCGCTGTCTAGGGGTGTTGAACCCTCGGACTCTGTTGTTGAGTGCATTCGAGGTTTATGACCTTGTAGGAGTTAGGGGTTCGGGGTCAAGTGTCTGTTAGTTCTAGTAACTCGAAGGCCGACTCTAGGTAGAGCTTAGGGGTTTAGGGGTTTAGGATGCTGTTGGGTTAAGGGCTTCGTGGATGTAGGGTTTAGGCAAGTTGCCGTAGAGTCCTTGAGTCTTTGCCACTCGTCATATTGATAGGAACCACAATTTAGGATCGAACCCGAGCATT